ACTGGGGGATAGGGGAGGCTAGGGGACTGTCTAGGGCGGGGGGATAAAATGGACACATATGAAATACCCTTTGTAATACTTTAAGCAATAAAAAAAAATAGTAAGTAAAAAAATTAAAAAAAAATATTTTTATTGATTTCAAAGAGGAAGGGAGAGGGGGAGAGAGAGAGAAACATCAATGATGAGAGAGAGTCATTGATTGGCTACCTCCTCATGCCCCACACAGGGGACCCAGCCTGCAACCTGGGCATGTGCCCTGACCGGGAATCAAACCATGACCACCTGCTTCATAGGTTGACACTAAACCACACTGGCTGGGCTATTCTGACCTATTTTTTTAACAATAAAATTATTATTTATATTTTTGCTGTAAATGTAAAAAACACTATAAATGTATTTTTTCATTTGTAAACTCAGTTAACAGTTACCATATGAGCCAGCAGTTCCATTCCGAGGCATACACCCAAGAGAATGAAAATGTCCACACAAAACCTTGTTATGTATTTTTGTTGCAGCAGCATTCATAATAGTGAAAAGGTGAAAGCAACCCAAGTGTCCATCAACTAATGAATGGATAAACAAAAGGTGGTCTATCCATACAATGGAGTAATATTCAGCCATGGAAAGGAATGTGCTGATATGTTACAACATGGATGAGCCTCAGAAACTTTATGCTCAGTGAAAGAATCTATACACAAAAGATCACATACTATATGAGTCCATTCATATAAAATAATCTGACCTATTTTTTTTAAATATATTTTATTGATTTTTTACAGAGAGGAAGGGAGAGAGAGAGAGAGTTAGAAACATCGATGAGAGAGAAACATCGATCAGCTGCCTCCTGCACATCTCCCACTAGGAATGTGCCCGCAACCAAGGTACATGCCCTTGACCGGAATCGAACCTGGGACCTTTCAGTCCGCAGGCCGACGCTCTATCCACTGAGCCAAACCGGTTTCGGCATCTGACCTATTTTTAAGTTTGTTAATTCTATAACTATGTTTTGTCTCTTAAACATATATTGAATTTTCAAAAAACACATTTCTTAGTGATTTCAGAAAGGAAAGGAGACGGAGAGAGAGAAACATCAATGATGAGAGAGATCAGTTGTCTCCTGCACGCCCCCTACTGGGGATCGAGCCCACAGCCCCAGCAACCTGAGCATGTGCTCTGACCAGGAATCGAACCCTGACCTCTCGGTTTATAGGTCACTGCTCAACCATTGGGGCTAACCATTAATTTTTGATGGCTATATTCTTCATTTCTAAAAGCTTTTTTTCACATATGTTATGTCATTTTTTATATTTTATGGCTCCCTGCAGGTATTTAAAATCTTGTCTCTAATCCTGTATACATAGTAAACTTACTTGTAATTTAGTCTGACATCTTCTGTGCCTGACACTTTTGTGGGTCAGTTCTGCTGACCTGGACTTGTGTGCCTGTGGCTTTATACATGGTGCCTTATTTCCATGTGCTCTGTGAGTTGACGCTTGTTGCCTTTTGTAGCCTATAATTAAGTGCCTTTATCAAGGGAAGATTTATTTGCCAGGTGCCTGGCATCTATGAGAGAAGCCCAGGATCATCTATACCAGGGGTGGGCAAACTTTTTGACTGGAGAGCCACAATGGGTTCTTAAACTGGACCGGAGGCCGGAACAAAAGCATGGATGGAGTGTTTGTGTGAACTAATATAAATTCAAAGTAAACATCATTACATAAAAGGGTACGGTCTTTTTTTTTTAGTTTTATTCATTTCAAACGGGCCGGATCCGGCCCGCGGGCCGTAGTTTGCCCCCGGCTGATCTATACAAATAAAAGGGTAATATGCTAATTAGACCAGACATCTTCTGGACATCTTTCTGGACATCCTTCCACACAAAGTCACAGCGGCTGTGAGGGCCGAGGGCTGGTGGCGCGGGAGAGGCGGTGGCATGGCCTTCCGCAGAAGCAGTGGGAGAGGGGGCTGTGCTGTCCCGGTCACAGTGCTGCCCCTTCTGCAGAGGCAGCCACAGAGGCAGTGGCATGGGCTGGGTCCCGGTGCCATGCTTCTGCAGAGGTTGGACGGGGTGCAACCTGCTGTGCCTCAACCTCCCACAGCCCCTCTCCCAGCCGGCCTGGCCCCAGATCGCCCCCCCTCCACCAGTGGATGAGTGGCAGGGCCAGTGCTAAGCAGCAAGGGCCGAGGGCCGGCAGCTGTGGTGGTGGTGGTGGCGGCAGCAGAAGGGTGATGCGGGTGGCACCTTCCCCTGATGGGCCTGGTCGCCTCCCACAGAGGACATCAGTAGGACATCCTCTGAGGGCTCCCAGATTGTGAGAGGGGGGCAGGCTGGGCTGAGGGGACCCCCCGCCAGTGCACGAATTTTTGTGCACCGGGCCTCTAGTTTTAAATGAAATCCACAGCCTGAGAAATTTGTGGGGGATCACTCAGGTGATACGAATTTGGACTGCAAAGCCAGAAAGTATCAGCATGTGGTTTCTATTTATCAGTGAGTTATGTTCTCTTCTGCTGAACACCAATGTGGTTTTATTTTTTACCAGCCCCCAAGTTTGGAGAAAATGAATTGTCCAGTGGGTGTAGTCCACTGCTTTTTGGGGCCCTAGCTTTATGCGCAAGAGTCACATCACCTTATGTTGGTGCTTTTAACCCATGAGCCCATGAAGAAGAAAATCCCAGCTTACTGTAAGTTTGCTAGTTTGGCAAACACGTCAGGACCCAAGTAGTTTCAATGCTGTGATCACCTCTCTGGGTTTCTCACCTTTACTTGGTTTTTGGCCTGAAAATTCCTTAGATCTCATTTGCTCTTTGATGTCTCTAAGAAGGTTTAAAGCATCTATCCAGCATGTTCAGTTATCCAGTAGCTTCTTTTCCCAGGTTGGAAATAGCAGTTCAGATCAGGCAAAGCCTTGGAACAGTGACAGGGCCCAGAGGCCTGAAGGAAGAGCTGGGTTTATCTGGAGGAAGGTTCTCCACCCTCTATACACACATCAAAAAAAAAGAAAAAATGGCCCTAACTCTTTGGCTCAGTGGAGAAAGCATCGGCCTGTGGACTGAAGGGTCCCAGGTTCAATTCCGGTCAAGGGCACATGCCCCGGTTGTGGGCTTGATCCCTAGTAGTGGGTGTGCGGGAGGCAGCTGATCAATGATTCTCTCTCATCATTGATGTTCTCTCTCCTCATTGATGTTTCTATCTTTCTCTCCCCCTCTCCCTTCCTCTCTGAAATCAATAAAAATATATTTTAAAAAAACAACAAAAAATGGGCAGTAATTTCAATGTTTAAAATGGATTGACTGCCTTCTACAGGTCTATAGTAGAAGGGCTTCTATGGGTTACTTTAATAACAGTACAAAGTGGGCAAAGGGCACAAATGGGCGATTCCCACAGAGCAGTAGAGATGGAGACAATACTGACCTTCGTAAATGATCGAATAAATGGAAGCTACCAAACATGGAGAACAGAGGAGGGGATGCAGGCACCAGCCTCCTGCTAATGAAACTGTAAGGAAGGCAATTTTGGTAATATTATCAAAAAGCCATAGCATTGGACATAGCATTACCCCAGAAATTCCACTTCTATAAAAATGCCCCAAGGAAAAATTATGTTTGTATGTTTGTGTGTAATATTTTAGCTACAAATATTCAGGACAAGGCTTCTGCAAATTATTTGTATACTATAATTTGTATACTATAGTAAATGAAAAACGTACATACAAATGAAAAATTACTCATACTCCCGACCACTTTCCTTTTCTGGGTATATATAAAGTTTGTTGACAATTTTCCTCTCCTGTCCTTTTAGTCCCATGCTTGTGGAAAACTCCTGCCAACATTGAGTGTGTCTTGTTTTCAAGTTTTCTTGTGATTATATCAATATAAAAATTGATTTATACTCTACACATTGGCCTGCAGCATGCTGTTATATAAATGTCTTGGCATTGTGCTCGCTTCGGCAGCACATATACTAAATGTCTTGGCATTGTTCATGTCTATGTCCAAAGACTGACCTCATTCTCTGACAGGCTATGTGATTCTACCATAATTATTTAACTTCTATCATTTCTCTGTTCCAATAAACAGTTCTGCGAAGAACATCCTGTACATAACATCTTCATATATGTGTGCCACTATTTTCTGTAGGATAAATTCCCAGAAGGATTGCAGGCTCAGAGAATTTGCACTTTTTGGATTTAAAGGATAAGACGCGTGGTGTGCTAGTGCCTGCTTAGATTATCTCATGTTGAATTGTCAGGAATTCGGAGAGCTGATTGTTAAACACAACCACTACTAAAAATTAAATTATGTTAATTTAGAAATAAATAGGTCATGTTAAAAACAAAGCTAATAGCCCAACCGGCATGGCTCAGTGGTTGAGCATCAACCTATGAACCAGGAGGTCACGGTTCAGTTCCCAGTCAGGGCACATGCCTGGGCTGCAGACTCAATCCCCAGTAGGGGGCGTGCAGGAGGCAGCCAATGATGATTTTTCTCTCATCATAGATGTTTCTATCTCTCCCTTCCTCTCTGAAATCAATAAAAATATATTAAAACAAAAAAACAAAAAAGCTCATAAATACTGAAAACTCATTATTTTCTAATTTTGCTACTACTACATTTTACTGTTATCTATGTTCACATCTCTCTCTCTCTCTCTCTCTCTTTTTTTTTTTAACAGCAGGCCCCGGGGTCGTGTCTACAGGGTCCGGACTAGAGCGACTTCATGGTATTCCCCTTACTAAAAAAACGTGTGTATTAGGAGGAGAGAGGGGAAAAAAAGAGGAAAGAAGGAAAAAAAAATAAAAATAAAACCCCTTAACTAAGTGCCAGGCGGGTAGTTAATCACTTTAACTACGAACAATCATGCTTAAGCTACATAATCTTTACTCCCTGGGATGGAGATAAGAAACGCCCTAACCTTTGGAATGGAAATTGATAGGATTAAAACCAACTGGTATAAATACAGATGTAACAAGACAAAAGACAGAACCTGGCTGGAGATCCTGGCTAGAACCTGGCTAGAGAACCTGGCTAGGCTGCTGATCAACTGAACGCTGTCTCCGTGTCATTCCTTCTTTGCCGACTCCGTCCACACCTTTGGGAACCCCTGACCTGCTGGGGTTGGACCCAAACATCTGGCACCAGTCTGAGCGGCGATGGCGGCAGCGGCAGCGGCAGCGGCAGCGGCAGCGGCAGCGGCAGCGGCAGTGGCAGTGGGGGCTGCGGGCGATCGGGGCTCCGGGCTGGGGCGGCGGCGCCATCTTGTGCCCGAGGCCGGTGGGGAGGCCGGGGAGGGGGCCCCGGGGGGCGCAGGGGACTATGGGAATGGCCTGGAGTCTGAGGAACTGGAGCCTGAGGAGCTGCTGCTGGAGCCCGAGCCGGAGCCCAAGACTGAAGAGGAGCTGTCCTGGCCCCGTGCCCCACTGGGCACCCCAGTGGGCCGCCAGGAGGAGGAGGGGGACCCAGGGCACGGCGCCATTGAAGACCCAGAGCTGGAAGAGATTAAAGCTCGAGTCAGGGAGATGGAGGAAGAAGCTGAGAAGCTAAAAGAGCTACAGAACGAGGTAGAGAAGCAGATGAATATGAGTCCACCTCCAGGCCATGCTGGCCGAGTGAGCATGTCTATCAAAGAGAAGATGGAGGCTGATGCCCGTTCCATCTATGTTGGCAATGTGGACTATGGTGCAACAGCAGAAGAGCTGGAAGCACACTTTCATGGCTGTGGTTCAGTCAACCGTGTTACCATACTCTGTGACAAATTTAGTGGCCTTCCCAAAGGGTTTGCATATATAGAGTTCTCAGACAAAGAGTCAGTGAGGACTTCCCTGGCCTTAGATGAATCCCTATTTAGAGGAAGACAAATCAAGGTAATCCCAAAACGAACCAACAGACCAGGGATCAGCACAACAGACCGGGGTTTCCCACGAGTCCGATACCATGCCCCGACCAGCAACTACAACAGTTCCCGAGCTCGATTCTACAGTGGTTTTAACAGCAGGCCCCGGGGTCGTGTCTACAGGGGCCGGGCTAGAGCGACTTCATGGTATTCCCCTTACTAAAAAAAAGTGTGTATTCTGTTCACATCTCTTTTATCTGGACAATAGAAATACAACACAATAGCAGCTGCTATGCATCTCTTTAATTTCCTGTTCAGTGATAGCATATTGATAGTTAGAAATCAACCATGATGGCAATATTTACACCATGGAAATTGGCAAATGCTACAAACCAGCCCTCTTCCCCTTTTTCCAAAGTACCACTAACTAAACATTTACTGGCCTACAACTGTATACAACTGAATTAAAATTATATATTATTTAAAAGTTCTATGTTGTTATAATCCTACAGAAGTGTATTTGGGTCTTGCTTTTTAAATATATTTTCATTACAGGTATCTCGTTGTTATTGAGCATTTTAACTTCCATGGCTTTGTGTATCATTGCCAATGTCTTGGCCATTGGTATATGGCGGTTTGCCTGTTATTACTTTGGCTTATTTTTCTGTAGGGTTGACTGACTTTAAAAAGAAAAAGGTGGAGGAGAGGAGGGTGAGAAAAAATTTGGAGGTATAGTAGTAATAACCTTTTTAAAAATATATATATATATATTATTGATTTTTTTACAGAGAGGAAGGGAGAGGGATAGAGAGTTAGAAACATCGATGAGAGAGAACCACCAACCAGCTGCCTCCTGCACACCTCCTACTGGGGATGTGCCCGCAACCAAGGTACATGCCCTTGACTGGAATCGAACCTGGGACCCTCCAGTCCACAGGCCGACACTCTATCCACTGAGCCAAACCGGTTAGGGCTAACTTTTTTTTTTTTACTTGCAAAGATACTTATTGCAGTGTTGTTCATAGGGGGAAAATATTAGAAACAAAATGTTACAGCCCATAAAAGTAGAATGGTTTGAAAAATTATGACATAGCCACACCATGGAATATTATGTGGCCATTAAAAGACAATGAATTATGATTCTGATCAAAGGCACACACATTGGTTGCAGGTCGATGTGTCTCTATCACATCAATTTTTCTCTCTGTCTCTCCCTCTCCCTTCCACTCTCTCTAAAAATCAATGGAAAAATATCCACAGGTGAGGATTAACAACAACAACAAAAGACAATGAATTAGAGCTATGCCAGGTGACTTAGAAGAGTTTCCTTGAGGCAGAAAAGTATTGGTAATATCCCATTTTCAATGTTCCATGTATTGTGTGTGTATATGTAAAATGGCTAGGTGGACCCCAGCTGGCGTGGCTCAGTGGTTGAGCATCAACCTATGAACCAGGAGGTCATGGTTCAATTCCTGGTCAGGGCACATGCCTGAGTTGTGGGCTTGATCCCCAGTAGGGGCATGCAGGAGGCAGCCGATCAATGATTTTCTCTCATCACTGATGTGGTAATAACCTTTTGTCTGCTGTTTGTAGCAAATATTTTTCTTACAGTTTCTCTTTAGCTTTGCATATATTTTTCTTTATTTATACCAAGTATTTTTCTCTTTATATAGTCCAATGTGCCCAGTTTTTCCATTGTCACTCGAGGATATTATTTCTTTTTTAAAATATATATATTTTATTGATTTTTTTACAGAGAGAAAGGGAGAGGGATAGAGAGTTAGAAACATCGTTGAGAGAGAACCACCGATCAGCTGCCTCCTGCACACCCCCCACTGAGGATGTGCCCACAACCAAGGTACATGCCCTTGATCAGAATCGAACCTGGGACCCTTCATTCCGCAGGCCGATGCTCCATCCACTGAGCCAAACCAGCCAGGGCAAGGATATTATTTCTTAAAAAAAAAAATCTCGCCCTAACCGGTTCGGCTCAGTGGATAGAGCTTCGGCCTGCGGAATGAAGGGTCCCGGGTTCGATTCCGGTCAAGGGCATGTATCTTGGTTGCAGGCACATCCCCAGTAGGAGGTGTGCAGGAGGCAGCTGATCGATGTTTCTCTCTCATCGATGTTTCTAACTCTCTATCCCTCTCCCTTCCTCTCTGTAAAAAAAAAAAAAAAAAAAAAATCAATAAAAAAATATATATATATTTTAAAAATCTCTAAATGTCCCTAGAACTATATATTAAATATTACCTTGTTACATTTTTGGATGGGGCTGTTCTGCCATTGTGTGTTTATATCTGTTTGTGTGTGGTTTGTCTATATGTGTGTGTGTCACAAGTGTGCTCTTATATCTGATTCCCATGTCCTCCATTTTTTCACACATAGTTTTCCCAGTGTCAAATGAGAATTGAAGGAATAACAGATGTGCTGGACCCACTAGGATACATAAGAAGGTACAGTAAGCCCTAATCGGTTTGGCTCAATGGATAGAGTGTCGGCCTGCAGACTGGAAGGTCCCAGGTTCGATTCCGGTCAAGGGCATGTACCTTGGTTGCAGGCACATCCCCCGTAGAGGTGTGCAGGAGGCAGCTGATCAATGTTTCCTTCTCATCGATGTTTCTAACTCTCTATCCCTCTCCCTTCCTCTCTGTAAAAAATCAATAAAATATATTTTTCAAAAAAGAAAGTACAGTAAGTGGAGTAGGTACTGCATTTTCTTAAGTTTCTACAGTGACCATGGTTGGTTTAATGAGGAAAAATTTTTTAAAGAAAGCAGTTCTGCCGAAGCCGGTTTGGCTCAGTGGATAGAGCGTCGGCCTGTGGACTGAGGGGTCCTGGGTTCGATTCTGATCGGGGGCATGTGCCTGGGTTGCGGGCACATCCCCAGTGGGAGATGTGCAGCAGGCAGCTGATCGATGTTTCTCTCCCATCGATGTTTCTGACTCTCTGTCTCTCTCCCTTCCTCTCTGTGTGAAATCAATAAAATATCTTTAAAAAAAAAAAAAAAAAAAAGGAAAGCAGTTCTGCCCTAACCGGTTTGGCTCAGTGGATAGAGCGTCGGCCTGCGGACTGAAAGATCCCAGGTTCGATTCCGGTCAAGGGCATGTACCTTGGTTGCAGGCACATCCCCAGTAGAGGTGTGCAGGAGGCAGCTGATCAATGTTTCCTTCTCATCGATGTTTCTAACTCTCTATCCCTCTCCCTTCCTCTCTGTAAAAAAAAAATTAAAAATTAAAATATATTAAAAAAAAAAAGAAAGAAAGCAGTTCTGACCTGTCTCCTTAGAAGTGTGGATGTAGGCAGGACTCTGGGCCAGCTCCCTGGCCCACTTGCTAAGTGACTGGGTGCTGGGGCAGGACGAACCTCCTTCCACCAGGTCCAGAGTCTGGCAAACGGGGGCTTCACCCCAGGCCTCCTAGATCCCCAAAGTCCCCGACACCCTTTTGGAGCCCCTGTGTACTGTCCTGCAAGTTTGGCTCCGCGTGAGTCCTATCCGTACCAGCAGAGGGCGCCATTCCCTAATAGTCTCAGGGGCTGTGCCCCGCCGCCCGGTACCGCGCCCTCAGCTCTAGGTGAGTGAGGGACCAGGTCCCGCGCACTTAGATTTGTGTGGAGTCCCCCGAGGCGAGTCGCTCTGGGGAGGGGCCAGGCCTGGTCAGCTAGGGCAAGCCCATGACTCCCGACATAGTCCCGAGGGGCTGAAGCCTTTGGCCTGCGTCTCCAAGTGGCTGCAGCCAAGGGCATGGCGGGTGGAGGTTCAGAGTCCGGCATTTGGGACCCGATGGACGAAACGTCTCAGGCCGCCGAGGGTGAGATGACCCGAATGTCCCCCTCAGCCACGCAGGTCGTCCAGCGAACGCGGCCCAGGGGCGCGCCCAGACCTGAACATGGCTGGACGCGCAGCTCAGGCCTCTTCGGATCCCCACCTTTCCTTTGGTAGGAGGGCAGCACCTCCCCAAATCCCATCAGGACCCTGGCGCGCACCCCCAGGGAACACATGAGCGCACGCAGAGTGAGGCTTTCTTTCAGGGACTTTACTCAAACACGGAAAGGTCGCAAGAAGAGGAGGCCGGGGGGGGGGGGGGGGGGGGGGTCCCGCGATGACGCACCCCTCGTTTAGCGGTAGCTGGAGGCCAGCGCCCAAATCACGTGGCTCAGAAACTTGTCCAGCGAGGCCTGCAGGGCGGGGCTGAAGTCTCCGGGGTAGTGCCGGGCGAGGGTGACCAGCAGGCAGTGGCCCAGCAGCTGCGGAGGGATGGAGTCATCCCCACCGGGGTCCATCTGTCAGCCCACACCCTCCCTTGTGAACTCCCCCCCTCCCCCCGCTAGAGGGCCCAGCCCCCACCGCGCTTGCTCACCTTGAAGTTGACGGGGTTCACCTGCAGCTTGTGCGCGTGCAGGTCGCTCAGAGCCGACAGGGCGCGGGGCAGGTCGTCCAGGTGGTTCACGGCCAGGGTCAGCGCGTCAGCCACCTTCTGGCCGTGGGCTTTGACCTGGGCGGAGCCGGGTCTCAGGTCCAGGTGGGCGAAGTATGTCTTGGTGGAGGGGAAGGCCAGGAAGGTCCTTCGGGAGGAACGGCTAGTGAGGTGCGCCCCTGAGTCGGGGCTGGAGGGGGAGGGCCGCGGGAGGGCGGGGATCCATCCCCCGGGCGAGCAGGAAGGCAGGGGAGCCCCGAGGGCGTAGGGCCGGCCCGCACCTCTCCAGGGCCTCCGTGGTGTAGACGCCCACGTTGGTATCCAGTTTTCTCCAGAGAGCGCGCACTGCAGCCTGGTCTGCCGCCGACAGCACCATGGTGCAGCCGCGGGCCCCCGAGCGAGCTTCTGCGATGGCTGCGCTCGCGCCCAACGGCCAGCAGGTCCCCCTGGCCTCTAGGGGGCGCCACGCTGCAGAGTCTGGTCCAGAGGGATCCGGAAGCGTCCCATCTCCATCTGCTCTGACCTGGGCCCTTTCCAATGGCTCTGGACCCTGAGGTCCCCGTTTTTGTAGAGTTCACTGTATGGAAACTAATACTTTAATACATATCATTATCAGGTAACACAACATTTTAGCAGCGAGTTTAGCATTGCATGTCAGCTTATTCTACTTTCCAAGTCTATTATGACACCTCCCTCAGTCTATTTTATCATTTATTGTATAAAGTGAATATAATTTCTTCTTCCCAAGGCTGTTGTGAGAATTAAGTGGATAAGAAATGTTAAATGCTTCATGTATAGCAGCTATGCCTTTCGGGACAGTGAACATTTATTTAGTATCTAGGAGGAATGGTAATAATAGCTCATACCTATGTGGCACCACTCTTTTTGTTGTGGTGGTGGTGGAGGTGGTAAAATTCATATAACATAAAATTTGCCATCTTAGTCATTTTAAAGTATACAATTTGGTGGCCTTAATTACATTTACACTGTTGTACAACCATTACCATTGTCCCATTCCAGAACTCTTTTCGTCATTTCAAATAGAAACTCTGTATCCATTAGCAGTCATTCCATAACCTTCCTGCTCTAGCCCCTGCCAACAACCAACCTGTATTCTGTTCCTGTGATTTGCCTATTCCAGATATTTCATATCAATAGAACCATGCAGTATATGGTCTTTTGTGTCTGGCTTTTTTCACTTAGTGCATTTTCAAGGTGTATCCACCTTGTGTTATGTATCTATACGCCTTTGCTTTTTTTTTATTGCTGAACAACATTTTATTGCACCACATTTTGTTGGTCTATTCAATAGACTCTATTGGTTGATGAATATTTGGGTTGTTCCTTCATTTTTTCTTTTTTTTTTTTAAATATATTTT